CACACACACACACACACACGCACACACGCACAGACGATCAGGATGGGTTCCCATCTCCACCCTGATCATGGCCTTCATGGCCTACCTCACGCAAGCCTAGCCTGGCCCTCGCTCCTGAAAACCAAGCTGTAGAATTTCATTGCCCGTCTGTTACCATATCAGCTGAGGAAGAAGATAGGTGGACGGATGGTGGATGGATACATGGGTGATGGACAGAGGATGGATGAATGGGAGGGAACAGGATGCCTTGGTTTTCTGCTGCAGATCTTCCAGAGCCACCCACTGCAGAAGCATTACAAATACAATGTGACGATAGACCCTAAGCCTCAGGACCCCCTGCCCAACACAGCCCTCCTCTCCCTTGTGCTCATGGCCGGCACCTTCTTCTTAGCCATGACGCTGCGCAAGTTCAAGAACAGCTCCTACTTCCCTGGCAAGGTCAGCATCCGTCTCCACCTGCCCGTGCCTGCCCTGCCCTATCCCAGTCCAAAGCACCCTCCTAGCTTCCCCGGCGCCATTGGCTCCCCTTCTTACCTTAGGTTCTCCTGCCCAATTCCAAGCCTCCCTGGCCCCCTCCTCCTCAAGGTCCCACCCTTCAGGGAAGCCCACCCCCTCTCTCAGCATGCCCAGGCTGAGAACCCAGTGGGGAGGCAGGAACAGGGCGTGGGAGGTGGGAACACCTGGGCACTAACCGCTGGTTCCCCCACCTGCCCTCAGCTGCGACGGGTCATCGGGGACTTCGGGGTTCCCATCTCCATCCTGATCATGGTCATGGTGGATTCTTTCATCCAGGATACCTACACCCAGGTGATCCTCTCCTCTACCCTCCTGTCCTTTCCCCAGCTTGCTCTCTCCCAGAATGGCTGTCCCCAACCTGGAGTCAGCTAGAACTACACCTGCCCCAGCCCTGGCTCCCCTGGCAGCCCCACGGTCCTCCCACAGCCTTACAGAGCCCCTCCGGCTGAAGCCAGCGCCGGGGTCAGGTTCCCTTTACTCTTTAACCCGGGGCAGCTGGAAAGAATCGGCTTTGGAGCCAGGCAGACCTGCCACCAAATAGTTGTGTGATGTAAGGCAAGCTACACAACCGCTCTGACCCTGTTCCTTTATCTGTAAAGTTTGGGGTGAGACGTACATAAAAGTCTGACATACATGTAGGGCCTGGGTACACAGCAGATGCGCAATAAAAGTGAGCGCCCACGTGTCCAGGACCCGATCTCCCCGTCTCCACCTCTCCCCAGCACCTGCCCCTGCCCCAGTGTTCTCAACAGCATCCCCTCCCGCAGAAACTCAGCGTGCCTTCGGGCCTCAAAGTCTCCAACTCCTCGGCCCGGGGCTGGATCATCCACCCTCTGGGCTTGTATTCCCACTTCCCCATCTGGATGATGTTCGCCTCCGCTCTGCCCGCACTGCTGGTCTTCATCCTCATCTTCCTTGAGTCCCAGATCACCACGTAAGAGTCGGGTGGGGCCGGGCCTGGGAGGGCTCGAGGCAGAGAAGGGGGCAGGTTCCCGGCGGGTCAGACTCCCAGGACTGATGCTAGTGAGGGCCAGACAGACACCCAGGACTGATGCTAGTGAGGGCCAGACAGACACCCAGGACTGATGCTAGCCAGACTCAGTGGGAGGTGTGGCCCTCCCTGCTCACAGGGGAAAGGAGGGGCGGGGCGGGGGCGGGGCCAGGTTGTATGGGACCCAGCAGTGTGTAACCTGGGGAGCCCTTTGTAAGGGAAGGAACACAAAAGGAGAACCACAAAATAAGGTGCGGGGTCTCGGAAAGGACCCGTGCCGGTGACGCTCGCTGGAGCCTACCTTCATTAGCTTTGGGGCAAACCTGCCCGTGGAGAGTCTGGATTCTCAAGGTGGGGTGGGAGGGAGGGGGGCAAAGAACTCCAAGGGACATGGGCACAGAAGGGTAAACTGAGGCGCATAGAGACTCAAGTGTGGGGAAGGAAGGAGGGGCCGAGGGGGGTGCGGGAGGGAGAGCCCTGCTTATCCCTCACCTCCCACCCCCCAGGCTGATCATCAGCAAACCAGAGCGCAAGCTGGTCAAGGGCTCCGGCTTCCACCTGGACCTGCTGCTGGTCATGGGCATGGGCGGGCTGGCCACTCTCTTCGGGATGCCCTGGCTCAGCGCCACCACCGTGCGTTCCGTCACCCACGCCAACGCCCTCACCGTCATGGGCAAGGCCAGTGCCCCCGGGGCTGCAGCCCAGATCCAGGAGGTCAAGGAGCAGCGGATCAGCGGGCTCCTGGTCTCTGTGCTTGTGGGTGAGTGAGGGCTGGCCGCACTCTCTACCTGCCTCTGGCCCTGCCCCGGGCCTCCAGCCCCCTCCAGCCCTCCCCACACACCTGCTGCCCACATCTCTCCGGGGTTAGTCACATGACGGAAATGACCAGGGCGCTGAGGTGGGCATCTGAGCAGGGGAGGAAGGAGGGCCTCCAGTACTAAAGCCTTCTCTAGACAGAAGCTCACTAACTGCGAGCCCCAGCCCTGCCCTCTGGGCCTCAGTTTCCCTTTTTGCACCATTAGAGGGTTTCTTAGGTGCCCGCTGAGGTCTCTCTGGCTGAGCTGCTCTGACTGACACAAAGGGGAGTGCTCCAGGGCATAACCTCCAGGCTGGCGGG